GACTTTAAACTTCATTTATTCTGTAAAAAGCTCCCCCCACAGGATGATGCAACCACCTCCATGTTTCTACATGGGGCGTTCAGGTGTCATCCTGATTACGCACACTTTGTTTCATTATTTTGTGACATGTATTCCAATTTTAAATAAATTGTGATCTGTGGTGACAAAAAGTTGAGGACAGGATCAGAAACATGAAGCTTCTCAGCTCCCTGAAGAGCAGAGAAAAGCGACTGAGCCCCACATCTCCTGCAGATGATGCATACATTTAGCTTTCATCTGCTATTTTGTTTATGCAAATAGGAGCCGCTCTGCAAAAGAGGACACAGTTAAATAAATGGCTGCCAGTTTACAAAGCAGGAGATTCAGTCTTGAGTTGATCCTTGACAACAACCTGCTGCGGTTTGTTTGTTTCTTTGTTTTTTCTGAATGAAAACGCACAGAGCAGTGGGAATGGCGCACTTTATGAATGAGAAATGACCAGAAATATATATATATATATGTGTGCGTCTGTGTGCTTGAGAGCAGGAGAAGTTTAAAAGGCGCAGATATTCAACAGCTGTCAGTCTGTGCAGAGTCTCTGCTCTGTCGTTTCCGTTCAAACGCCACACTGTCACATTGTTCTCCGCCTGCAAACTTTCTGATCTGCGCGCTGCAGCCGCCGCTTTACTCACGTTCCGAGGACTTCCTTAAAGTCAAAGATGTCCTTGATGTCATCTACGTGCTTTTTCCAAGAGCCGTCGCTGGACTCGCCGTTTTCTTGCGCCATTTCGCACCGGGGAGGAGGTGGGGTGGAGAGGAGGGAGGAGGAGAAAAGATGAGGAGACGCCGCTCTCTGGAGGAGGATCACCACACTAGAGTCACCCAGCCCCAAAAAATAATAAAGGAAAAATAAAAGTGCTTCACTTTTGATGGTCTGGAAGCTCTCTGGATGTCTGTCTGTCTGTCTCACCCATGCCAAGCGAGTCCAAAGGGGGGAGGTATGTCCTACCCAGAGAGGTTATTAGACTAATCTGTCTGACGTAGCGGATCCTGAGCCAGAGCCTCCCCGCTGATCGCATCACCGACCGGGGAAACACATGCAGGCTCTTCCCCTCCTCCTCCTCCTCCTCCTCCGGGGCGGGGACGCGGCGATGCTGGGAGGATGGAGCCGCTGCGCTGAGGAGTCACACAGACCTGTGGTTGTTATAGCAATAGGAGGAGTGGGAGGGTTCCGCCTTACTATGTGGCTGTGTTCGCATTGCACCAAAGCGCAGAGCGAGGTGGAAAGTCCAAACTGTTTCAGGACGCGTTTCCGCATCGGTCTGATGAGAACGCAGCGGATTTCCTTTCAATCTGGGCTCAGATTCAGTAGCAGGGGTGAAACAACGAGATATGGGGGTCCAGGGCCCAGCCCCCCCTACCAGAGGCGTAGCCAGAAAATTTTTATAAAGGTGGCCAGGCAATAACCAATGTACAATGAAGGGTGGCCAAAAGCTGATAGGCGCCAGAAATTCATTTTCAATCTATAACAGGAAAATTAAAGGAATAGTACACCCAAAACATGATTAGCCTTCATTTTCTACTCACCCCCATGCTGAACAACACTCTGGAGTACTTTTTT